TGGACAATCAATTTGTTGTGCCATACAACTCACAACTCTTGATGAGGTATCAAGATCAATCAACATTGAATATTGCAATAAATCTAATTCAATCAAACATCTTTTTAAATTTGTATATAAAGGTCTAGATAAAGTAATGTTGCATTGCCCAATCTAACTTGACACTGTTGATAATATGGTGTATAATGAAATTGATAATTACTATGATTATCATTACGTATCTACATGTGAAGCGTTTTAGAAAATCTTCTCCTAGTGTATTACACCTTGACCCAATATACTTATCACCGCCAATAAGAACTCTTGGGGTACCACATGTAGACACCAATTTGTGTAAAAATCTTTGAGGGATGGTTGATTGGAAAACCAAGGGAAAATAAAAAAGTGGAAGAAATGAAAAACAAGTCAAATAGCTACAGCCTACAAGCTCAGGGGATCGAAAAAATGCAAATACTTGCCCATATTTGTGTCTCTTTCTCTCATCTCACTGCTTCATCCCTCAAACCCACCGCCCTGTACCTCCCCTTCTCCTCTAAATATAGCCGCTGTCGATTCTCCTGTAAGCCGCTGCAACCGCACCGCCGCCCCTTATTCTCCACCTCAATGAGTTCGTCTCCTTCCACCGCTGCTATTGCTGATGATGTAAGGAAACTGAATTTGGACAGTTCAAACGGTCGGAAGGTCAAGCTTGAAGAGCTGAATTGGGACAATTCCTTTGTTCGAGAACTTCCGGGTGATCCAAGGACCGATGCCTTGCCGAGGGAGGTGTGATTCCTCTCCCAACTCTTACTCACCTGATGCACTAGATTTCATGACCTGTTGATTAAAAAAAGTACATATAAATCTTGTAATTCCTCGGTTGAAATTAGAATGTACGGTTTGGGGATAAGTAAGATTTGAACATGTATTTTGAACTTAAGAATTCGTATTTAGGACAGAAGTATCATATGAATGCGAAACTGGGTGTAGTGTTTTAAAATTTTAGACCTGTGTACTATGCAGGTGCTGCATGCTTGCTATACTAAAGTATCTCCCTCTGCGGAGGTGGACAACCCCCAGCTTGTTGCATGGTCAGAGTCGGTTGCCAAACTTCTTGAATTGGATCCTGAAGAGTGAGGCTTCATAGCTTTTCAAAAGTTCCTCCTGTTGGAAAAATCATCAAAATTACTAGTTGGGAGCACCTATTATTTTCTCTTTCATAAATTGAATGACAAAATTTGTCGAAGAAACCTTCCACAATTAACTTCCTCGTCTTCGGTGGTTATGAGCTATTATCTCTATCCTTCAACTTGAACAGCTGTTTTCTCTTAGGTGCTCTCTTGTCCTTGGTAAACTTAATCACGCTATGCTTATGAGTTACACCATTTAGAGATCTTTTTCAGTAGCTACATCTCTCAAATCTACCCCATTTGAAGATCCATCGGTGACTTTTAAACTCCATTCTAAACACGGGATTACTCTAGCATATCACCATCATTAACAACACCAGTGCCGCAATGCCGCCGCATTGTTTGCCATCTTTCCCCCTATAATTGGTCAAAATGATAGGAAAAGAAATATCACCTTTAGGAAGGATACTTTTACAACTCCCAATCATGTGATCGAGTTTCTTGTACCATCTTTTCCCCCATCAACTCCAAAATTGTTCTCCTTTTATATCAAGCCACGATCAATCAGCTTTTGAAAGCTTCCATATCCCTTCACCATATTTGTTAGCATAACCACCATCATCTAACACTCTAGCTCAAATTATATTGAAATGAACATTTGGAACATGTCTCACATTCCAAATGATCAATGTGCAACGAGTATTACTTTTCAAGCAAGTAAATGCCCATTCCAATAATCTTAGATGCCCATTCCATCTTTACTTTGCCAAATTGGTCACTAGCCTAAGTTGATGTGCGGTGTGAGATGATATGAGACACCTCAATTTACTTTTTCTTTTGTTGGGCTTTGTGGACTTTCTGATTTTTCATCTTTCAGCACTGTGATATCTTATGACCTGGTTTATTACAATAGTAACATATCATTTCACTCTGATCTCTCCCTGGGTTCAGAATATCCATTCTATATGAGGGTCTCTCACAATCTTGTACCTCAACATCATGATTGTGATCTTAATGGTCAACATATTTGATCACAATATCTATTCTGAGCTTACCTTCATTGCAGAATTGCCAAGTGACACCACTAAAGCCTCCAAAGTTTCTAGCAATGAGATGAAGAACAACAAAGCCCGTCAATCCTTAACTAAATCTATTTCATAGTAAATATTGGATCAACTAGACATTCAAAATTTCTACCACGCTTTGTTCATCTTTATAGTCTACTTTCACAAGTCTTCTCATAACTCATGCATTATTTTAGTCATTTTCCTTCTCATGCATGAATTTGAGTTTTTTCCAAAGTTCATAGGTATTGGTGTCATTAACAACATGCTAAATCACACTCTCAACAATAAATTGGCCAGTCATTCTCTTAATATATCAGTTAAAGAATTTGCAAGCATTTTCCTATTTAAAGATGCTATATTCTAATTCAAAATACTCCTTTCTTGTTTCTGACTTTAATAATCAGAGGATTTCAACTTAATCATTCCTCCAAAAACAATTTTACCCTCCATTTATCAACCCAGGAAAATTACACAAAATGCCAACCGAAGCTGATACCTATTTTGAGACTTTCAATTGTTAAAATAGGCAAATAAAATCCTCAATCAATATATAAAGCCTGCAACAGATATAATCAACCAAATGATAAACGATACAACTAGATTTATGTGGAAATCCAATATGATACCAAACCCTTCCACTAATCACCAAAAGTCAGTGGTTACAACCAAAACAGTTTCTAAATAAATTATTGTCATAGACAATTGTCAAACAAACTTGGAGTAGTAAATGCTGAAAAGCATCAGGTAATTGAAGTGATAGATGCCAGTCATGTCACCCAGAAAGGGCAGGCCGGAAAACAGACTCCTAGAGCTCAGATCGCGAATCTAAATGTCATATGTGAAAAAGAGGAAGCTAGGAACATCCTAAAAATTTTGTGCGACTGGAATTCCTTTTTTTTTTGAATGGAACCAAAGCAACTGCTGCAAAAATGTTTCTCTTCTCAATCTTCCATTGAGACCTCTCTTGTGTTCTTTCTTCACCAGTAGTTGACAGAAACGACATCCCTCTTATCAGCCCTATGTGTCTTTTAATTGAGGCTACAAACCACTTTCAGTGAGCTCAACGCCCCATTTAACATCCACACCAAAGCCGAACAAGCGGAACAACTTATTTTAGGCTTATCATTCCTTCATCTAGCAGGGATTACCAACCTTTTTTCTATTTTTTTCTTAGAGGTTAAGATATATCTCTAATTAAATACTTTCTTATATTTCAGATTTGAGAGACCAGACTTTCCACTATTATTCTCAGGGGCTACACCTCTAGTGGGATCGTATGTTTACTTTTCTTAACCATTTTATGTACATGTCAATGGCCTTTTCATCACATTTTATGTGGGCAGATTTTATAATTTATTGTTTACTCCTTAGGATGCCTTATGCCCAGAACTATGGGGGGCATCAGTTCGGAATGTGGGCAGGCCAGTTAGGTGATGGCCGTGCAATAACTCTTGGAGAGGTTTTAAACTCGAAGTCTGAAAGGTGGGAGCTGCAACTTAAAGGTGCTGGGAAGACACCATATAGCAGGTTTGCTGATGGCCTGGCAGTTTTGCGCAGCAGTATTCGGGAGTTCTTGTGTAGTGAAGCAATGCATAATCTTGGAATACCAACAACACGAGCACTATGCCTTGTGATGACGGGGAAACACGTCACTCGTGACATGTTTTACGAGTATGAGTATCATGTTCAATTATTAATAGCTTGTGCATTGGTTTTGCATGAAGATTGATTTAACCTTGAATTTTTCTCTCTACTTTCTTACAATTTTGAACTTTTTCTTAAACTGCACTCTCTCTTTCTTGTGAAGCTTTAACCGACGAACATGTAATGAAGTGTTGTTGTAAACTAGCAATTTTGTTGGGCTTTAGTTTTGTGTATTGACTATTCTGTATTTACTTTCAGTGGCAATCCAAAGGATGAACCAGGTGCAATGGTTTGCAGGGTTGCACAGTCCTTTTTGCGTTTTGGTTCATACCAACTACATGCTTCCAGAGGGAAAACGGATCTTAACATTGTTCGTGCTTTGGCAGACTATGCCATTCGGCATCACTTCCCGCATTTAGAAAACATGAGTAAGAGCGAAGGCATATCTTTTGTAACTGGTCAAGAGGATGATTCCCTAGTGGATCTAACATCGAACAAGTATGCAGGTAAGCCATATTCATAAAATCATGATATGAAGATGAACTGATTTCATTTCCTGAGGGAAGATGGAAATATGCTCTGTTTTTTCAGGGTATGATTGCATATATCTTGACCCCCATGATCCCAACAAAGTTGGGCTTAAATCTGGGATGTTGTTGATGATGATGACATGGCACAACACGCTTTATGTTTCTTGTCATTTAGAGAGGGAGCTCCTTGTGTGACTTTTATGTCTTAATAGTACTGTTACTGATAGGTTCCAGGCTGGTTGGTTAAGTCATATTATATTTAAGTAATTAGCACTATTTAATTATTTGTTGAGTCTTTTTATTTTTCATATTTATCATTTAATAACTATTTAATTCCACTTAGTGGGAAGTTAGGGGTCAGTCCTTCCCACTTAGTGGGAGGTTTAGGGCAATTTATTCCCTCTTTGTTAGTGGGTGGCTATTAGTAAGTTATTACTAGTGGAAGTTAGAGTCTCTTTGTATAAATAGACATCTAGTCATGTGCATTGATTATGGAAGATTACACGGTATTTTAACATTGGAAATTCTCCTTGTCTTTATTATTTATGAAGTTAGATCCCGATTTCATAATTTAATAAAAGACTATCCTTTATTTACTTTTCACACCAATCTCGAGTTCTATCAGTTACCATTTTTTCTTGTGGGAAGTTGGGGAAGGAGGGGTGGGGGTGGCCCACTTCAATTAGATGTTAGTTCCTTGTCATCCTGTACGGTTCCACTTGCTGGTACCGAACACTTAAGCCCACTAATGGTAATGGGAAAAATACATATATTGATGTATTTATTATCCACAATAGTGGACACCAACATCTTCACTCGTGTAATGTGAAGTGAGATTCTGGCTGGTCAATTAGCGAATAGTTTTCTATGTGCAATGAGAATGAATTCACTTGCTTCATTTGTTTATTCAGGCTGTTTGTATGGTCTAGCAAAGTAGCAAATAGGTAGCATGACTGAAATTCATGTATTCTTATCATTGGTCACATTTCCCATGAAGTAACTTTTTAGAAAGCACAGAATATTTTACTTTTTCCTTTCACCCTTTAATTGCAATTTGTGCAGGGGGTTTTCAAGGTGATGGATTTTTACCGTAGTATTTATTGTGATGTTGAAGTTCTGCCTGTTGTGGTTTGATCAGATTGACTCTAATCCAATGTTTAATTCATGGTCATCATTCAGAATTTGTATTGGATTTTGTTTTATGTTTTTGTTCCTACACTCCCTATACTCATCGGGGAAGGAACGAGGTGTCCGCTAAGTCGCTAACTAACATGGAGTACATTAATAAATTCTCAGTTTTATTAACTTGTGTGTCATTACTGTGTGCCTTCGTATGTTACATCAGCATGGGCAGTAGAAGTTGCAGAGCGCACTGCTTCAATGATAGCAGGTTGGCAAGGTGTTGGGTTCACACATGGAGTGATGAATACAGATAACATGAGTGTCTTGGGACTCACCATTGATTATGGCCCTTTTGGTTTTCTGGATGCCTTTGATCCCAGTTTTACACCAAACACCACTGATCTCCCAGGGAGAAGATACTGTTTCGCTAATCAGCCTGATATCGGGCTGTGGAATATTGCACAATTTACATCCACACTGTCTGCTGCCGAGTTGATGAGCAATAAGGAGGCAAATTATGTCATGGAAAGGTGCTCTGAGTCTGACTGTTTGTTGTTAGTCCGCAAATTATTACTTCTATAAGCTTTAAAGTTTAAACAATAAAAATAAAAATTCCGGCATATTTTTAAAATATACTCCATATTAATTCATTTCTTAACAAATCATGTTGCATTTCGCTCAGATATGGAATCAAATTTATGGATGACTATCAAGCAATCATGACCAAGAAACTTGGTCTGCCGAAGTATAATAAGCAGTTGATAAGTGATCTTCTAAACAACATGTCTGTTGACAAAGTTGATTACACAAATTTCTTTCGGTTGCTGTCAAATATTAAAGCAGACCCTGCAATTCCTGAACAGCAGTTATTGATTCCCTTGAAGGCTGTTCTGTTGGATATAGGTAAAGAGCGCAAAGTGGCATGGACAAGTTGGGTACAGGCATACATACAAGAGGTAGGTCCATTCATATGATAAATTGACATAATATTTGTTATATTGACCATGTTGGCCAAGGAAAAAACCTATGTTTGGGCTGGTAGCGTTAACTGCTAGAATTGAAATGAATTACAAGTTTATGAATGAAATCCATTGAAGATCAGCGATGCTGTATCATTTTTTTCCAGCTAGCTCATTTAAAACAGGGTGGCCAAGCCGGCCAATACTCAAAATTTAAGTTTTTGAAAAAATGCTTTGTCTTGGTTGTCTCTTATGGCTAGTTTTGTGTTGCTATTTGAATATGCCGAAAAAATGATATTTCCTCTGTCACAAATAGTTCTTTTTTTACTACGTATATTGTAATAAAAACAATAGCACTAAAAAAAAGTTTTTTTTTTCAAAAAACTTTTTTAGGCTCTGTTTGCTTACAGAATATATTCCTTTTCTCATTTTCATGTGTTTGCCACCGGAAAATATTTGAAGATAATCTCCTTAATCATCAAGAATTTTTCGGATAGTGACATTTGGTTTCTATTTTTGTGGGTTAAACATTATACTCTATTATACAAGATTTATGTATGTATTGTTCTCCAGGGAATGTGTCATGTTATAGTTCTTATTCTTATGGTGTTTTTGATATCTACTTTGACAGCTCTCCAGCAGTGGAATTTCAGATGAGGAGAGGAAGAGCTCTATGGATTCTGTAAATCCCAAGTATATCCTTCGAAACTATTTGTGCCAAAGTGCCATAGACACGGCTGAGCAGGGCGATTTTACAGAGGTTCGCCAACTCCTAAAGGTTATGGAGAATCCATATGACGAGCAACCGGGAATGGAGAAATATGCACGCTTGCCCCCAGCCTGGGCTTATCGTCCTGGGGTCTGCATGCTTTCATGTTCTTCATGATTTACTCGCCTCCATTCCCAATTGAAGTTTTTTTTTTGGTACCAATAGCAAATCTATATTCTTTTTATTTGACAGTAGCAAATCAATATTCTGTTATGGGGGGAACTTGTGTAGAAGTATAAAAGGCTCGAATTAACTCTAGTTCTTGGAGCAACAACAACAACAACAACAACCCAGTTGGATCCCACAATAGTAGGGTCTGGGGAGGGTGTGTGTACGCAGACCTTGCCCCTACTCGGAAGTAGGGAGGCTGTTTCCAAGAGACTTCTTGGAGCAATGACATCAAAATACCGTTCTTATCGTTGCTCATAATGGGCATAATCTGCCCCAATTTACGGAGTATAATCTTAACAGTTCTATTGAGAGTATCATTTTTGAATTTAAAATTGGTGGCTCCTATCTTCTCTAACCCCATCCCCTTGATTGTCGATTTGACATTGCCAATTTAAAGCTGGTGGCTCCTCTCCTCTAGTCCTATCCCCTTCATCAATTTTATTTATGAAGCATGTAGTTATTTGTATAATTTTAATGTCAAAATTATCAATACCAAAAGATCTTACCTGATTTATTACTATAATTATAAATTTATTATGATAATTATAATCATACAAGGACTTGAGAAGTTTATTGATTAAGTTTGTTCTTTTATTCCTATTGAAATCAGATTAGACCAGGTTTAGTCCAATCTGAAACAACTTTGAGAACATGTTACATTCCTCTTATCAGATTACATTTGATTTGGTTTTATTAATGTTTGGTTTGATCTAAGTCAAGTTATATTTCAAAGTATTCTTGATCTGGTATGATCTTTAATAAAAATATGTAATACTCCTTCCGTCCCGTTTTAAATCGCCTATTTTGACTTTTGGGCATATTTAAGGAAAAGAAAAAATAGAATGATTTTCCAAAATTGTCAGTACTTTTTAGAAGGGATGACGATGAATGAGAAGATAATGTGGAGAAGAGTGACTTATTTTAGAAGTTATTTAGGTATTTTACTCTTAAAAGTTTACGAAAACAACTAACAGGTAACTTATTTTGGGACGGAGAAAAAAGGTAAACATGCAATTTAAAATGGGACGGAGGTAGTAAATAATAAGAACATGTTGAAGAATACGTGTTTTAAATTTAACCTCAATTGTATCAGATCAGATAAGATCTAATCAAATTAGACAAGAGAATATGCTCTACTTTTGGTCATTTTCCTGTTCGTATTACATGTACAACATGCCTTAACAATGGTTTATACTCCACTTGCTATAAAACAATGAATCTAGTACATCTGAGTGTACCTATCTTCAGGAACATCCGACACATGCTCATTTTGGATTAAAAATGGCTTTTTTGCAAGTAGGAGTAAAACATTAAACATATACCTGAGTAACAAAATAAGAATTTTATGTTTTTATTCCTGAAATAAGAGTTAAAATGCATATATAGTGCCAATCATGACCATATACATTACCAAAAAGTATTGTGAAATATCCATATATATAGTACACATTACGATAGGGCAACTTTAAGGATAAAAACTTGAAGCTTTTAAGAAATCACCATGCATAGCACTCTAACTCATCCAAAATTACGCATTTAGCACTACCCATTGTTTTTAACAAACTTAGCTATTTATGGTGTCAATCCTTTCCTATCATACCCCTTACCCCTTTTTATTTTTTTTCATTAAAATTAGGTTATTAAACTCCACCTACAAATCTACGATCTCTCCTTCTTGCCCATTACGTGCGATTTTGCGTCCTCCCTCCTTCGCCCGCGGTTCCTTCGTCGATTTGCAGCTGCAATCACCAATCACCACATCTCTCTAAGCAATGGATAAATCAGGTTCTCTCTCATGCTTCCTTCTTCGATATCGCTAATCATTTTCTCTTCTCCTTCAATTTTTATTTTTCATTCCTTCATCCTTTTATTCGGATTTTCCTGTATTTTTAGTTTTAATTATTGTGTTATCTTTGTATGTAACCTCCTTTTAATTATGCCGTGCTTAGCATAATTTTATTAAAAAAAAATTCTCCATTGAAGATTAATGAAGTGAAGTTAGGAGTGTGATGTGCGATTTATCTGTTTAATGAATTGTACTTGGTAGTGTGAAGATTAGGTGTTGTGAAATCAATTGTTTTAATATCAAGTATTTGCCCCTTTTAAAAAATTAGGTGTTTTGAAAGGCATTGTGAATTTGGCATTGTGAAGAGTAGGTGTTATGGTGTAGACAGTGTGAAGATTAAATGTTAAAATTTTGTCCTGCATTTTTAGTTTTATTTAGAGTAAATTCCATAATTGGTCCTTTATAACAAGGGGGTTTCCCTATTTAGTCCTCTATTATCAAATATTACCCCAGTGGTCCTTTTTTTAAGGGTATCTTTCCACAAATAGTCCTTTTTTTGATCTTCTATCATGTTGGTGTTAATTTGAGGGCTAAAAGTGTAACTTTACAATGATAATATATCTTTTTTGTCATACACAATTCCAAAGGTTGTTCCGTTTGCGTCGTTTGAGAATTACAGTCGCTTTCTGCTACAACCGTAGTCTACAAATATGGTCTTTCATCGGAATCCTAGCCCACAGTCATAGTCATTATTTTTGTATTATCCGCTTAACCAATATCAGAACACGTCAGTAGACATAATGTTGATGTCAAATTATACTTTTAGCCTTTAAATTAACACCAACATGGCAGCAGATCAAAAAAAGGATCATTTGTGGAAAGATACCCTTAAAAAAAGGACTACGGGGGTAATATTTGATAATAGAGGACTAAATATGGAAACCCCCATGTTATAAAGGACCAATTTTGGAATTTACTCTTTTATTTATTTCCTATTTTTCTTTGTATTGAATGTCTTAATTATATCTAAGTACTTAGCATAATTGTTATAAAAACAAAGCTGCTCCATTGAAGATTAATGAAGTGTAGTTGGAAGTGTGCTGTGCGATGTATATGTTATAAAAAAAACTCCTGTGTTTATCCCAAGCCTTACTCTTGTTCGGAAAGTTGAGTTTCAGCAAAGAGCAACTGGGTAAAGTAATAAGTGAAAATCCAAGGCTCTTATTTGAGAGATCTGGTCGTAATGTAGTTTCAATTATGGGATTCTTGTGGAAATTTGGATGCAATCAAGATAAGATATATATGACGTTTGTTCATTTCCCACAAGTTCAAGCTAGGATGTTTCTTCAGAACTTAAGAAATTGTTACCATCTTCTCATTCAAATAGATATGCCTATACATGAGATTGGGAATATGTTTAGCTCACACACTTTGTTTCTGGGTTCATGTTCTTTAAAGAAAGTAAGTAGCTTGCTTAATTGTTTAATGGGAAGAAGAAGCTATGTCAAAACAAAGCTGCTCCATTGAAGATTAATGAAGTGTAGTTGGAAGCATGTTGTGCGATGTATATGTTTAATAAACTGAAGTAGCTTGCTTAATTGCTTGTTGAGCACACTGCCCAAATTTGGCAGTGAATTTGAAAACACATGTTGTGGCAGTGTACCAAAAAATTTGGTTTTGAATTAGGCAGTGTATTTGCATATACATGCAGTGGCCTTCAAAAGTAAAACAAATAACATATCAAAAGTAAAAAAGTACACACCTAATTGTTTTTTCTCATTCCTATTGCCTTCATTTTTTGTTTTATAGGTTTGACTCAATCCATACTTGCCTTGTTGATTTTTGAGAAGGCGATCATAGACAGGCAACATCGTCATTTGTAGCTGATATAATTCTTCATCGTCATGTAGGCGCTACCAAGAAACCATACCCTCCTAATGACTTACGTGAGGACATGAGACGGGAATATGGCGTTATAATGACATCCATAGAAGAGACAGGAGATAATAATTGTATTCCTTATAATATAATTTGAATTTTGAATTAATATATATTGCTTTGTCTACTTGCACGATCGAATTGCAAAAAGTGAATATGGTATAAGTTGCATTCTTTTAACTCTTGTAACATTTCTTGTGAAATTTGGCAGTGAACTAGGACTTCTATTATAGTGTGGCAGTGAAGATTGTATATGTGCCAATGTATAATATTGTGGCAGTGTAGAGAGTATATATTGCAGTGTATAATTACCATAAATAATTAAATGTCACGGCCTAAAATGAATTCTGCTCTTTTTTTTGGCAGTGTTGTATGTGTTAGGGCACTAAATTCAATCTCAAACATATTTTGGCAGTGAAGAGGAGAGAATTTCATACTTATATATAAAGTGGCAGTGAAGAGTGTATACATTGTAGTGTATATTGAACTTAAGGATTTAAATTTCACATTCTAAACCGAATTGGGGTCTGTCAACTTCTATCAACAATTTTTGGCAGTGTCCTACAACCATGTTTGGTTAGTGTCTTTTCGTTGAATGTGATTTATATATAAAAATCACACTATCATATATTATTCATAGAGTTCCATAAATAGTGGATATAAAACAATCACCAAAATCACTAGTCCTTGTATAACTTTATCAAACAAAGTGTGCATTGTAAGCTTAAACATTTTTGGAAGTATGGAATGGTCGTGATCTGCGTATAATTTTTGGTCAGTGTGCTATGAAAATGTAGCAATGTATGCTCCATACAAATTCTTTAAAGTGACAACATAATACTTTCCATTACCCATATCTTTTCAGTACCACATAAATCAAATTCAATATATGTCTTGAAGGCATATTCTAACTTCGTACAAAATCATGAAAGACCAAAAAAACAAATCAATGGAAACTCTGCAACATCTAATAAAAAGCCAAACGGAGATTCTCTGAATCTGACTAGTTCTTCTGTAGTCAAAATTTTCTTTATCTGCTTTGCGACCTTATTCACGTTACAATACGTGTTAATCCTCCCATCTTGCATAACACCTTTAGAGGCCACTTCAGCATCCTACAACAACAATAGACCATCAAGGTAAGCTTCACAAATCCATCTAACGACACTTGCATGAAACAGATTACTTGACAAAATTTGTACCACTGAAAGATTAAAACAATATAATGCATTGTTCATTGAAATACATTTTCCCTTATACTAAGCCCAAAAAAACACACAGCCACAAACACAACAGCGCAAAAAAAAACAATTACTTTGTGAAGAACAAAAAACTCAAAAAACACACTGCCAAAAAACAAATACCCAAAAAAAGCAATCAATTACGTCTAACATTAACAAAAAAAACCTAAACGATTTCAACAAAGCCAAAAAAACCATTACGTTAATCAAAAAAACATTGCCAACCTTCAAAAAAACCACACTACAGTGAACCTAAGGGAAACACATACATTTTTGCAGTGCACCTTAAAAAAACACACTACCAGCCTAAGGGGAAAAAAACCTTTTCCTAAAACCACCAAAATTCCATTGTAGTGACATGATTAGAATCGCCTAGAACCACAAAAAGTTACTAGTAATCAATTTACAACAAAAACTTCTTTGGCCGATTAAGTTAATAGTATGCCAAAACTACTACTCACCCAAAATTTTATTTTCCTTTATGCAGTGGGTTATTGTTGCCTAGGCGATTCAATTGGAAACTTTGTATGAGTAAATTTTTTGGAAGCGAATTCACTGCCAAAACGAAGCATACCTGTATCTTCTCCAATCTTTTGCTTAGAGGAATCTCGTCCAGCGCATCATCGCTTGCCATTGAAACCCTGGTCTCCTTCCCGAAGCTGCTGCGTTCGGCCGTGTGAAGCTTGATGCTTGGCCGCCAATTACTTTGGTAATATTGCGTTCTCGAGGCTGCTGCGTGAGGTCTACTTCGATGATATTGTGTGAAGCACCCATTACTTTTTCTTAACCTAATTCAATATAATTCAATTTTGGGTGTTTATTTAAGGACAAAATCGGAAATTCGTCCCAAAAACTAATAGCACTGCTATTTTGAGTATTATAAGACTATTAGAGTGCTATTTTCGTATTTCTCACTTGAATTAATAAGATAAAATAAAATTTTGAATATATTTGATAAATCTAATAAAAATTATATTTGTATTAATATCTAATTTTTTTTAATTTGAGATCAAAGTTTACTTATTTTGACTGAAAAAATTCAAAACTAGACAAATACTCAAGGACAGATGGAGTTTATAAAATTCTTTAAAAAAGAGTTATAATAAATGGAAATTCATAAAGAAATTTATTAAAATTTTACGGTGTAAATATTTCCATGTAACTAAATATATGACGGAGAAATTAATATTACTTCAAAGTTAGAGTTACAAATTAAATGGTATACATTGTTTAACATTTATAATTTTACATATCTCAATTCAGAAAATGAGCGCAGTGTTCGTCATAAACAATCACCAAGTGTCATTGAATCAAGTTTGACATGCGAATCTGTTGATGAAGGCATCAAAAAAATTGATGGTATTCTTTTATTTTCATATTTTTTCCCCGTCATGATTTCATGTGCAATAACTATTAACAAAAGTCAAAGATAATCTCTATCGCATGTTGGTGTACTTCTCAAAAAACCGGTCTTTACTCATGGTCAACTTTATGTGGTTATTTCAAATGTCACAAACCGACAAGGATTGAAGATTTTGAGTTGAGATGAAGAAAATAATCATCTAGATCATACGACGAATGTTGTGTATGAAGAAGTTTTCAAGAATTTATGATTATATATGTACGTATTTAACTAATACTCCCTCCGTCCTAAAACTTTCTTCCCACTTCCTCTTTTTCTCCGTCCTAAAACTACCTTCCCATTACAAAAAAAAGATGACAAATGACATTAATACCCTCATGTATTTACACCACTTATCTTCTAACTTTATATTTTGAATGATTGCAAAAAAAAAATTTCAAAAAATCTTTTTTAAGGAGGGTAAAATTTGAAGTCAAATCCAAAAATTAAAAAAGGGGAAAAGTCAAACTGGGAAGAAAGTTTTAGGACGGAGGGAGTATCGTTCAGTATTTATTGGTACATATGCTACATTATATTAGAATAAATTTTATAATTGGTCCTTTATAAATAGGGGGTTTCCATATTTAGTTCTCTATTATCAAATATTACCACCGTACTCCTTTTTTTAAGGATACCTTTCCACAAATGGTCCTTTTTTGATCTTCTGTTGTGTTGGTGTTAATTTAAAGGCTAAAAGTATAATTTGATATCAACATTATGTTTAGTGACGTGTTCTGATATTGGTTAAGCGGATAACACAAAAATAATGACTATGGTTGTGGGCTAGGGTTCTGACGAAAGACCACATTTGTAGACTATAGTTGTAGTAGAAAGCGACTGTAATTCACAAACGATGCAAACGGAACAACCTTTGAAATTGTGTATGACAAAAAAGATATATTATCATTGTGAAATTACACTTTTAACTCTTAAATTAACACCAACATGATAGAAGATCAAAAAAAGGACTATTTGTGGAAAGATACCCATAAAAGAAGGACCACTTGGATAATATTTGATAATAGAAGACTAATTAGGAAAATCCCCTATTATAAAGGACCAATTATAGAATTCACTCATTACTCCGTATATTATAGGAGTAACAAATTTTAATATACATTGGGTAGTTAACGAATTGTCGTATTTGTAATACAACATTGTTTTTACGGGTCATATCGTTTGTTTACAAAATAAAATTCTCACCGTGCATCGCATGAGTTAGAATCTAGTTTATTTACAAAAGCAAAAGAAAAAACACTCGCCTAAATCCCATGTATTTTTTAGGTCCTATAAAATCTCAAAAACGGAAACACTACAATCAACTTCCCACTAGCACACAAAATCAGGATGAAACCATAAAGAACCCCCAGGTGGATTTGTCCTATCTTCGTTGCTGAGCCAGGATCTATGTGCATTTTTACTTCTCTGAGTCCTTATTTTTTAAAATTCTCATTCAATTTTGTTTTAATTTCACTATGTTGTTGTTTTTGCAGATGTTTTGTTTTTATTTTTGTAACTCTAGGAAAAAAGAGTGGAAATTCATTCACGGATGATGATAAATGGATCAAATCCTGATGTTGACGTACAAAAAATTTGTTTGCCCTCTAATTTATGACCGAGTTTAGAAGAGATATGCCTTTTTTTAATAGATGATCGCAGAATATTAGGGATGAGATTAATGAAGCTAATCCAGCTCACTCTTTGAACTTCAATGGGAAAATTTTAATAGGTTAAGGAGAATTATCTCTCAATTTTCAATCTTGCCCAATATTTTACCAAAATCTAAAATCTCTCTGGTAGTGTTTGACAACTAGTATTTCATTTCAATTCATGCATTTCAATTTCAAAATTTGAAATCTTTAATTTCAAATGACAAGGAGAGATGCATGGATTTCAAATTAAGCTTTGTTATGAATGAGAAGAATTTGACTCAAATCCAAATTTAAAATTTTGAAGTTTCCCAAACATGAAATTTGAGCCAAATCTGGATTCGAAATTCAAATCCATGTTCCCAAACATACCATCATATTTTTTTGATTCCCGATTAGCAGCATCCATGTTCATCAAGAGAACAGTTCTTGGCTTCACACCAAAGGATCTCCTAAAAGGTATGAACTTTAAAAATTCCTCTGTCAAGATTTGACGGCTGAACTCAAATGTTGGTGTGATGGAGTGATTGATCTATGATATCACTGTCATTAAGACACATAGAATTTGCTTCTTGATTTTTAGATTTTCATCTTTCATTTGGTAGATTCAAAAGCTTCAATAGATCTTTAAAAGCACAGGGCTTAAGACTTGAAGGAAAAGGAGCACTGGACTACAAATGCGACACTACAAAGTGTGCCCCTCTATTGCTCACTTTTATCTTAATGTGTTATTATTGAGTCCTTGATAGGCAGAATTTATGTGTTTGAATCAAAAAATTAAATTCTAAAAAATCAGTCTTATTCCTTTCAGGGTAAATTTTAGAGGTAATATTCATATTACGTTTAAGTATTCATTTTACTCCGTAATATTTTGTGCTAATTTTTAATTTATAAGTTGTGGAATGTGATTGATGCAAAGTGTGTGATTAGAGTGATTACTATCCTAAATATTGAAGAACTCGAATATCAAATTCAACCATCCCAAAGTCTATAAGTTGATGTTAATTAAGAATTACTCCTACATAAAATGCTTTTGAGGACAACTAATGGAGTGCTACTGGGCTCTATAGGCAGGTGCATCTCTATTTCAACTTTTAATCCTTGATCTTAAATTTTTACGGGTGAAGTTTATTTTGGGATTGTTGAAGTATTATTTTCTGAAAGACTATAGCCTTCTAAAGAGGTATTTTAAATCTAAACTTAATTTATGTTTATTGTTCAAAACAAAGGCAGCAGTAGGTTCTTATGCTATAAATTTTTGGAGTGAAGTAAGCAGTTGTACAGTAACTTAGTATTTTACTCCATACTCCCTCCGTCCCGAAGTATTTGTCTACTTTTGACTTTTTCGGTCAAAATTGGTAAACTTTGACTCCAAATTAAATAAAAATGATATTAGATACAACAACAACAACAACCCAGTTAAATCCCACAAGAGTAGGGTCTGGGGAGGGTGTGTGTACGCAGACCTTGCCCCTACTCGAAAGTAGAGAGGCTGTTTCCAAAGAGACCCCCCGGCTCAACGTCGAAAGTTGCATTGCTTGACTAACTGCTACTTCATTAATTAAAGAAACGCAAATAGTTTAGATATCCATTTTGATTTATTCCATCACACCCCAAAGCCAAAAACAGGTGAAATTTTGGCTCCATCGGAGATGATGGAAATAAAAAAATTTAATTATCCATGGGGCCAAAAATGATATTAGATATTGATTCAAAAATAGTTTTATTAGATTTATTATATAAAATATTTTCAAAACATTATTTATCTAATTAATATACAATCTATGTTTTATTTTGTTATAGGTCAAAGGTTGAAAACAGTTGACTAAAAAAAGTCAAAACTGGATAAATACTCTGGGACGGAGGTAGTACTATTTTAAAAGTTTTCTACACTCATCCATTATGTTTGTGAGCACATGAGTGCTTTGTGAGAAAAAGCAAGAAAGACTTACATTTCCAGTAGGAACTTTCCATGGATGAACAAAAAATAGATCCCAAGAAGGGTAGTTTGGGAATTGATGTTATCATAGTATAACACAAAATTAAGTAAATTTCTGTAAAAACTGATGCTGTAGTGATGAACCTATTGAACTACTTTCTACATAAAAGAAACACAATCAAAATCATTTACATGTTATGAGGCACCATACAGAGTAATTCACATCAAAATGTTTCATTAAGGCAAAAGAACTACTTTAAGTTTTTGATATTCAATTTCTTCTTATTTCTTTATTACTACTTCCTGTTTCATTCTAGAAATGGGAGATTGCGGCTTCAAAATGGGTTAAGGTCTATTGATATCCCTAGTGATTAAGGGCACCAAAATCTCTTTTATTTTTTAAAGTTATTTGCAAAATCTTTATGGTTTCTAATTAGTGTATTCACACCCCTATTCTATTTTCAAAACTAAAATAATATTTATGCTCTATTCGTTACCTCTTTCATAAAGTTTCACTAGTTAATTATCAATTTTTTTATTTATACAAATAAATAAAATAACATATATGCTCTATTGTTGGTGTAAACCACCATTTAGCATTTGTTTACTTGATTAGTTACATAGTTTGTTTGTTAGTTAGGAAGATATTTTTGATTGTTAGTTGTTTTTCATTTTCAATATATAGGAGTAATCATGTAATACAAAATTTGAGCTAGTTAATACAGTTAATTCCAACATTGGTATCTGGTTGCTGTAGCTCCAAGCAATCGGACTCCTTATGAGATTTCCGGCAATGAAGGAGTTGAATCGCCGATTCACCTATTATCTCCTGTCCCAACCGATTCATCTCTTCGCGCTGGTAGATTCTGCGTTCGATTATAGTCGAGCAGATGGTGAATCGACTCCTCCGCCAAGCTCAGAACCAGACTCGATTGAATCCGCCAAAACAGATGGAACGACAAGTTTCTCTTCCAGATCTCATCCGTTTACGTCTGCAGTGAAACATCTGGAATCTCGTTCGAGATTTACACCGTCTCCTGTATCAAAGATGTCCTCGTCGGCTCGGTTTGTTTCATCCTCGGAGCCGCCGTGATTCTGTCAAGAAATCCACCGGAACTCCGGCTTACATCCCCGTCCAGATACAACGCCTCTCTGTCTGCGGCCTTAATTGGCTTCGTCCTAGTCCATCTCTCAGCAATCTCGCTGTCAATTCTGAATCCGAGGCAAAACTACGCTGTCGGAGGTCTCTTCTACCTCACACTCCACCAGGCTCAGATCCGAGGCAAAACTACTCCAATCTTCCGACCTCTTTCACCTATTCCTCTATCCAATTCAGGTCATGTTCATTATCTTGTGCTCCATCGAATGCACAATCAGATTCACTGTAATTCTTGCATTTGATTTTATCTTCAATTAAATCAGTTTTATCGCATGAATATCATTGCCAATTTGATTTCATCCTCTGTTCATTATATTGGTTCTCATATTGAGTATCCAATTTCATTTTCATCCTCAATGGCAGCCCTTGATGACTACAATTCCTGTCTAAGATTTTCAATTTCAGCTTTAATAGTTGGAGTTTGTTGCAAATCTGCATTCCTCCTTTTCAGATTCTCAGTCATCCCCTGGATCTCAGTTGTGTGCTCCTATTTAGCACCATTTAAATTTTTAAATCTGCATCTTTATAGAATTTTCATGAAGTTCTCTTATCTTCATTTTCATTCTCATAATTGGAATGTTCAGTTTCAATCATTCTCTTTCACTTCTGTAATTCAGAAGTTTCATCATTATTCAATTTCACTCAGTCAGTTTGATTGAGTTTCACTCGTATCGTTTTGATCGAGTTTCACTCGTATCGTTTTGATCGAGTTTCACTTTCATCATCATCCGTTTTTTGGTTGATTTCATCAATTGCTTTTGTCAATTGATTTCATTTCATCCTTTGATGTTTTCATGTGAATTCATCAATTGATTTTTCATCTCATCTTCAGCATCGGTTGTGTATGGTTCACTTTTCTGTTCATTTTGGGGAACCATCGCAGCCATCACTAACTCTTCACACTTTCAATCTCTCTCACTTGAAGCCGCTAATCTGCATGTGAGCCGAAGAAGAGTTATATGTGGTTATCAACCATGGGTAAAGAGAAGAAGCATATAAACATTGTGATTATTGGCCATGTCGACTCTGGGAAGTCTACTACTACAGGACACTTAATCTACAAACTTGGAGGAATCGTCAAGCGTGTAATTGAGGGGCTCGAGAAGGAAGCTGCTGAGATGAACAAGAGGTCGTTCAAGTATGACTGGGTTCTTGACAAGCATGAGCGGGAGCGTGGTGTCACCATTGATATTGCATTGTGGAAGTTTGAGACCACAAAGTATTACTGCACAGTTATTGATGCTCCCGGACATCGTGACTTTATTCAGAACATGATCACTGGAACCTCACACGTTGATTCTGCTGTTCTCATAATGGACTCCATCACCGGAGGTGTCAAACACAAGATGCTGTAAACTTCATAAAAAAGCTTGTTGTTTATGCATGATCAACAAGGATCTTATTCAGTTGCAAGTTGAAGTTGTTCCCACCTTCAACTTGAGGGGAGGGGGGGGGGTGGTGTTGGTGTAAACCACCATTTAGCATTTGTTCACTTGATTAGTTACTCCCTCCGTCCTAAAACCATCTACCCACTTTCCTTTTTTCTCCGTCCTAAAACTGCCTTCCCACTTCTTAAAAAAATGTATGAATTGACTATTTTATCCCTCCCTCAACTCTCTCAACCTACTGGATCTGTGTCAATCATCACTCTCATCTCTCTTCACTCTCAGCTGCTTCTCTCCTCCGTCTCTCCCCCCCCCCTCAAAATCTATATCTAATCTTCTTCTTCTCTCTCTATATCTTAATATCCTGATCTAAGAAAACGGTGAAGAGAGAGCAGATCCCCCAAATCTGCCTTCATCTCGTTGTGCACAGAGAGACTGCAGCCAGAGAGACTGCCACCATCGCCTATTAGACCTCGCCGCGCACAGAGAGACTGCAGCCACCGTCGCCGTCGCCGTCGCCACTCCGTTTCAGATCCGGTGAAGAGGGAGTAGATCCCTGCCTTCATCTCGTTGCTTGGACCAATTTCATAATTTATTTTATTTAAATGTGTTTAGCTGCAATTTTGATTTTTGATTTTGTTTTAGAACCATGCCTCTGTGTGTATTGAAAGAAGACAACATCGCCAGTGTTTTTGGTTCAGATTAGGCATGTTTCGGTCCAGTGTCAAGAGGGAGAAGGAAGGTTTTGAGGGGCATTTTAGGAAGGTCAACTCAATTTTTACACTCTCTTAAAAATCACCCCCGGTCAAACCGGGAAGGTGGTTTTAGGACGGAGGGAGTACATAGTTTGTTAGTTAGTTAGGAAGATATTTTTGGTTGTTACTTGTTTTTCATTTTCTATATATATATGAGTAATCATGTAATACAAAATTTGAGCTAGTTAATACACTTAATTCCAACATCTATATTCCAAATTAAAATTTTTCATTTAATTACTTTTCAAACCAAAAAATGGAGAATGATAGAAAATAAAATGAAAAATAGAAAGTTAAAATAGAACAATTTGGACGAAGTAAAAAAATAAATAATTGAAAAAAACAATGGAAAAGAAAAAACAAAAAAACTATCCCTTGCTATTACTCCATATTTTATTTCATCTTTCCATTATTAATTTTTTTTAAGTTTCAAAAGAAATATTTTAAATTTGAAAAATAAATAAATTTAAATTATTAATTTGAGTTGAAGTGAGTATATGTTTATTTTTTATTTTATTTATTTCACTTTTACTTGTGATAGAAAAGGTAATTTCTTTTCTTTCTTTTTCATTATCTCTTTTTATTTTGTCTTATACTCTGTACATAGCATTTTATTCCATTTTTCTATTTTTTATTTTCTTTTGTAATACTCTCTCTGTCCCAGAATATTCGTCCAGTTTTGACTTTTGGAACTGTTCATCTAAGCACTTTGACTCATCAAATTCTCTCAATGTGTAAGCCTAAATATAGTCATGTGTGATCTTGTTTGATTTGTCTTAACATATAGATTATTAATATATAATTTCTATAATTTTTTATTATACAAATTACAAGATAAAATGGATTAAAGAAGTGTATTTGATGGTGTGTAAAAATGAAAGTGGACAAATACTCTGGGACGGAGGTAGTATTCTCTAAAATATTCTTTTTTTTCAAAAAGTAAATAAATTAAAAATTGAATTGTTGAATATTACAGAGGGAAAAATAAAATAAAATTAAAATTAATTCGAACTTATAAAACGTTCGGATTTTACAACAAAATAAAGAAAAGAAAAAGTTGGAGTCTCCGGATGCTTGAACGAACGCAAGAACACGAACGGACGGAGAGAGGAACGGCGCCGGAGCAGTTTCTGGAATAAGGGTAAGGAAAGCGGAGTCGCCGGAGCTTTCCTTAAGGTTGTATTGCCCGCCTCCCGCACTGGCAAACGTGGGCAATCTCCTCCCAGGATAAAACCGCTTCGTGCAAGGCCTAGGGCGGTAAAACCGTGCACCGACGAACGAGAACGACAGAAGTTATAGCCGGAGAAGATGATCGGAAATAGGAGAGGGTCGGAAAGTTTGTATAACGCAGAGAGAGAGTTTTTCCAAGAGTGTTCTTCATCTCTCGACCAGCCTCTCCTTAAATAGGAGGATGCTTGGCTAACTGGACAGCCCGGACGGAGATACCAAGGAGTCTCAGGCGACTCTTCGGTCGGCCATGCATGCATGCTTTAACTTTGTACACTTCATTATTAACGAAGTGTACACGCACGTTTCGTTTTGGTCTCGTAAAAAGCTAGCCACGCATCGCCACGCATTGCCACGCCACGCCCCGACCCGACCCGACGCGACGCGTGCGCGCGCGCATTGAGCCGAGCCGGACGAGCGGCAGCGGCGCGCGAGGAGTCCTCTTCTTGTTCCTTTCATAAACTCAATTCAATGCCTAAGCTTAAATATGAGAATACGAAAGGTTCAAGATCCGGTGTGGGACAAAGACTTTTACTCTACCTTAGTATTCAACTTTGAGAATTAATTTCTCATTCACCTTAGCACCGTTTATGGCGTGTCATATGTCAAGACATTCGTCTTACTTACAAGATTAAACGTCCATAATTATTTCGGAAAATAATTTTGTGGACCCTATCGAATTTATGTCCGAAAATATCCAATTTACTTAAAATTTCCAACAATCCCGCACATGAATGAAAATTAATTCATGTAACTGGCAATAACTCTGAAGTTGAAACTTACAAGAGTAGGTAGGTTTTATGCCTTTGAACCTACTCCTTGTAAAGTATACCTTCTCTACTGGCTGTTCAGTAGAACGTGATGTCTTTGAACTGTACTGCCGTTTATGTAAACGACGATATACAATACACAAGTTTCAACCAACCATCATTCCGTTCTCATGGGTGTGCCCATTATGGTCGTGGAACGCGCATCTGGTTCTGCGAGAGTGTCAGACATGATCAGCCCGAAATCCTTCTGTTGAAGCGACCACACTTCACTCTTACATAGGTGATTCTTCTAAGAGTATCTCGATTACTCCACTTGGACCTTGTTGTCCATAGTTCAAGAATCATTAAAGCGTCATGCTAACCTCATCGTTTTCGGGAGTCGCTATATCTCAGTAGGAACGGAGGGGTGTTAAATCGGTGATCCGGCTTGCCCCCACAGTGACTGTGCTTCGTTCCACAAGTAGGTTGTCCCATTGAACCCAGGTACCACCCAGGTTGGGTTTTCCTTCATGGAACGTTCCCAGCACAAGGTAAGGCTTTCAGACCCATTCCTACCACTAACTTCTCATGTTGCTCATTTGTTAACCCTTTGGTTAATGGATCCGCTAAATTATCCTTTGACTTGACATAGTCAATTGAGATAGTACCCGTATTGAGAAGTTGTCTAATGGTTTTGTGTCTACGGTGAATGTGCCTAGACTTACCATTATACACTCTGTTCCGAGCTCGTCCTATTGCCGACTGACAATCACAATACACGCAAATAGGAGGAACTGGTTTTTCCCAGTTTGGAATATCCTCAAGTAAATTCCGAAGCCACTTGGCATGCTATGCACACTTGTCTAGTGCTATGAACTCAAACTCCGTGGTGGATCTCGCAATTAACGTTTGTTTTGAGGATTTTCAAGAAACAGCTGCACCAGCTAGCATAAAGATAAATCCGCTTCTGGATTTTGAATCCTTATTGTCCGCAATCCAATTGGCATCAGTGTACCCTTCCAGCACGGGTGGATACCTGCCATAACATAGGCTATAATCTCGAGTATACCGAAGGTATCTCATTACTCGGACTATGGCCTTCCAGTGCTTAGCACTCGGATTGCTAGTATACCTACTTAGTTTGCTAATGGCGCAAGTTAAGTCTTGCCGTGTGCAGCTCATCAGATACATCAGACTTCCGATAACTCTAGCGTATTCTGTCTGAGAATTGCTACTCCCTCGGTGTTTACCAAGGTGAACATTTACGTCTATCGGTGTCTTAGCTATCTTTGTATCATCCTTATTGAATTTATCAAGGATTTTGTCAATGTAGTGGGATTGGCTGAAGCTCAGACCATCAGGTCTTCTTATTATTTTGATTCCAAGAATCACATCAGCTAGACCCAAGTCTTTCATATCGAATTGTGCGTTCAACATGTCCTTGGTGGACTTAACCATCCTATCGTTGCTTCCAACGATGAGTATGTCGTCCACATACAGACATAAAATGACATACCTTTCAGATGTGTCCTTAAAGTATACGCACTTATCCGACTCATTTATCTTAAAACTGTTGTTCATCATTACCTCGTCAAACTTATCGTGCCATTGTTTTGGCGCTTGTTTAAGATCGTATAATGATTTCACAAGTTTGCAGACCTTCTTTTCTTGGCCCGGAACCTTAAATCCTTCGGGTTGTTCCATATAGATTTCTTCATCAAATTCGCCATTTAGAAAAGCTGTCTTCACATCCATTTGGTAAACATCCAAGTTTCGTAAGGATGCAAATGCGATGATCATTCTGATAGAATCTATCCTAGTCACAGGCGCGTAGGTATCAAAGTAGTCATAGCCCTCGCGTTGGCTATACCCCTTGATCACAAGTCTAGCTTTGTACTTGTCAATGGAGCCGTCACGGGTTCATTTTTCTCCAAAAGACCCATTTGGAACCTAATGGCTTACACCCTGGTGGGAGATCAACCAATTCCCACGTGTGATTCTGAAAAATAGAATCAACTTCACTTTTTATGGCTTCTCGCCACTGAGGTCCCTCGGTTGAGGTTACGGCCTCGTGATAGGTTCGTGGTTCCTTTTCTACCAAACAGGTTAGAATATCGGGTTCATTTTCCATTAGAAATGACAGAGTTCCTTTGTCAAATTCTATAAGATATGCTATGAAGTCAGAACCGAACGTCTTTTCAGTTCATATTCTTTTACTTCATCTCAATTCAGTCTCATGTTCGACTTCATCATCGTCACCGGAATTCGACTAATTTGGATCATCGTTATCCATCATCTCAGAATGAGAACGTTTGGACGAACTAGCTTCGCCACTTAACTTGCACGGAAAAATGTGCTCAAAAAACGTTGCATTCTGTGACTCTATGATCGTGTTCTTGTAAATTTCAGGATTATCTGATTTGTACACCAAGAACTGGTACGACGTACTATTGTACCCGATGAAGATTCCATCAACTGTTTTTGGACCGATCTTCATCTTCTTCGGTGGTGGTGCAAGTACTTTGGCGAGACACCCCCACACTTTGAGATACTTGTAGGAGGGTTTCCTCTTGTGCCAAAGTTCATACGGAGTTTTGTCAAGTTTCTTACGAGGTATTTTATTTAGTAAATAATTACTTGATAAAACAGCCTCCCCCCACATGTTCTAGGGTAATCCAGAACTAAGTAGCATCGCATTCATAATGTCTTTTAGAGTGCGGTTTTTCCGCTTCGCTACTCCGTTAGACTGCGGTGTATACGGTGGGGTTACTTGATGCACTATTCCATGTTGTGCACAAAACTCATTAAGTGGAGCATCATACTCACCACCTCTATCGCTTCTCAATGCTTTTATCTTGCGATTGAGTTGATTTTCCACTTCATTCTTATATCGAATAAAAGTGTCTAACGCTTCATCCTTACTTTTCAGTAAATAGATGTAGCAATATTTCGTGCTATCATCGACGAAGGTAATAAAGTACTTATTACCCCCTCTTGAAGGTGTTGTTCGAAAATCACACAAGTTGGTGTGAACCAACTCTAGAGGCTGAGTATTTCGTTCGATCGTTTGAAACGAACTTCGAGTTGACTTTGCCTCAACACAAGTTTCGCACTTGTGAGTTAAGTCAATTCTAAACTTAGGTATGTGTTCCATGTTAATTAATTTCCGAAGAGATGCATAATTAACATGTTCTAGTCTACCATGCCATAAACTAGAAGACTCACACACATAAGCAACAGGATTTTTATTGATCTTTTCATGAACAGTCATTACATTAAGCTTGACAAGCCCATCAGAAATGTAACCCTTCCAAATAAAAATCCTTTTTTTGGACAAAATTAGCTTGTCTGATTCGAACACCATCCGAAAGCCGTGTTTGATCAGAAATGACCCTGACACTAAATTCTTGCGAATATCTGGCACATAGAGCACGTCGTTAAGCGTTAACTCTTTGCTTGAGGTCATTTTGAGCTTAATCTTTCCCACCCCTTGAACCTCTGACTGGGCCGAGTTGCCCATCCACACCTTGTCACCGAAGGTCTCCTGGAAGTCGTGAAACATGCTCCTGTTTGAGCAAATATGGCGTGTGGCCCCTGTGTCCACAAACCATTCCCTCGGGTTTGACCCGACGAGATTCACCTCGGTAACGACCGCGCAGAGGTCCAAGTTGTCAAGCTCCGCACACATGGCTTCAATGGTTTTCTTCTTTCCCTTTTGTGGCTTCTTTTTCCTACAATCAGAGGAACGATGCCCGGTAATGTTACAGTTGTAGCACTTCCCTGCAAATTTTGAAATACCACCTTTAGGACCTATTTTCTTCTTGTCCTTCCCGCCATGTGAAGAGCCCGACGGATGTTCTACAACATTGGCCTTTGCCCCTCCACCTCTTCTGGCAAGCCCTTCCTCTCGAATCCTCAATCGCGTGAGCAGTTGCTCCAGGTTCAGCTGCGTTCTTTTGAGCTTGAGGTCGACTTGGAAATCTTCCCACGACCGGGGAAGTTTGTGGATGATGGCCGCCACTTGGAAGGCCTCGCTGACGCCTACTTTTTCTTCATTGCATTTGTTGAAGATTATCGTACGCTCCTCAGCCTGGGCGACAACAGATTTGCTGTCGACCATCTTGTAGTCTAGCATCTTCCCGATGATGAACTTCTTCGTGCCGGCATCTTCAGCTTGATACTTTTTGTTCAAGTTGTTCCAAAGCTCCTTGGCAAGCTTTGCACCGGCGTAGACGGGGTACAGCGTATCTCCCAGCCCCTCAAGGATAATGTTGATGGTGAGATAGTTGTTGTGGTACCATGCTTGGTTCACCATCGCCACGAGGGGGTCGTTGGCTTCGTTGGGCTGGGGAGGATCTTGCTGCAGGTACTCAGCAAATCCTAGGACGGTCAGGAAGAACGTCATCTTTTGTTGCCACATTTTGAAGTTCGTGCCATTGAACTTCGGTGGCCTTTGGACCAAACTAGCGGGCACCGAAATCGGCCCAACCGCATTGGGCGTATGGAGGAAAGGGCCGTTGCTCGCCCAATGAGGTCCAACGAATGGATTGACCGGTGTGGGGAAACCCGCGTTCGGTCCAAAATTGACCGTCGAGGTCGAAGCCACAGTCGGTCCAAGAAATGGGTTCGAATTACCAACGGGGTAGTCCCCCGTGGTTTCGAGCCCGGAAATGGGTCGAGGGGCCGACCCGAAGATCGAGCTCGACATCGAGAAAGACGTCATGGTTGCGGCCCCCACACTTGACCCGACGGATGAGGTTTTGATCGGAACTTCGGAACTCATTCCGTTACCGGAGGAACCCGCGATGCCGAAACCGAACTCCATCAATACTACCTTAAGATTGTTGAATATTACAGCGGGAAAAATAAAATAAAATTAAAATTAATCCGACCTTATAAAACGTTCGGATTTTTCAACAAAATAAAGAAAAGAAAAAGTTGGACTCTCCGGATGCTTGAACGAACGCAAGAACACGAACGGACGGAGAGAGGAACGGCGCCGGAGTAGTTTCTGGAATAAGGGTAAGGAAAGCGGAGTCGCCGGAGCTTTTCTTAAGGTAGTATTGCCCGCCTCCCGCACTGGCAAACGTGGGCAATCTCCTCCCAGGATAAAACCGCTTTGTGCAAGGTCTAGGGCGGTAAAACCGTGCACCGACGAATGAGAACGACAGAAGTTATAGCCGGAGAAGATGATCGGAAATAGGAGAGGGTCGGAAAGTTTGTATAACGCAGAGAGAGAGCTTTTCCAAGAGTGTTCTTCATCTCTCGACCAGCCTCTCCTTAAATAGGAGGATGCTTGGCTAACTGGACAGCCCGGACGGAGATACCAAGGAGTCTCAGGCGACTCTTCGGTCGGCCATGCATGCATGCTTTAACTCCGTACACTTCCCAACTTGCCTCGCCTCGCCTTGCCACGCCCCGACGCGACGCTACACGCGCGCGTGCGTGTCGTGCCCAGCTGACGGCGGCGCGCGAGGAGTCCTCTTCTTGTTCTTTTCATAAGCTCAATTCAATGCTTAAGCCTAAATATGAGAATACGAAAGGTTCAAGATCCGGTGTGGGACAAAGACTTTTACTCTACCTTAGTATTCAACTTTGAGAATTAATTTCTCATTCACCCTAGCACCGTTTATGGCGTGTCATATGTCAAGACATTCGTCTTACTTACGAGATTAAACGTCCATAATTATTTCGGAAAATAATTTTGTGGACCCTACCGAATTTATGTCCGAAAATGTCCAATTTACTTAAAATTTCCAACATTGATTTGAGATGGAGTTGTATTTTTTTAATTTTAAGTCTTTGTATAAACAAGAAAAAGTGAAAATAAAAGAGCAAAACTTCATGATAGAGTGAAAGAAAGGGTATAAATGTCATTTTAGTTCCAATAATCGGTTAGGGGCGTGTGTGCACTGTGCACTAATTAGAAATGGTAGGAGTTTCACAAATACTCCCTCCATCCCCTAGTTTTTGTCCCATTTTGACTTTTCGAACTGTTCATCTAAGTACTTTGACTCATTAAATTCTCTCAATGTGTAAGGCTAAATATAATCATGTGTGATTTTATTTGATTTGTCTTAACATATAGATTATTAATATATAATTTGTTGTGATATTTTATTTACTCGCAAGTGCACGAACCGTACGAAAGTATAGCAACGCAAATACGAGGTCGATCCCACAGGGACTTGATTATGTGAAGAATTTTATTCTAGATTCAATTGAATATTTCTAATCTAATTGGACAAAATTTAATATTTAAAAACAACTAAATGTGAAAATGAATAATATTAAAGAAATCTTATATAATTAAACAAAAACTAAAGATTGTATTAATTACTAAAAACTAAGAAATTAAAAATAAGTTTTCAAATATGAGAAAGAACTAGGACTTGGAATCCACTTATATATTCAAATATAATTTTTACTCAATCATTATTTTTTCCAAACTTAATACGCATGATAATCTCGCAACCAAGTCTCGTTATCATGGAGGATATATCAATTAAGCTCTAAAAAACAATTTCTAAAATTTGTTATTTTTCAAAGTTTCAAGAGAAATTCAAATCATTAATTGTATCTCATCAAGAAATCACAACTAATATCTG